CTTTAACCGGCCGTCCGTGCGGGCGCACAGGGCCACCCCCGGGGGGAAGCGGCCGGGGCAGGAATCTGCTTGGCGGTGCGCGTGAAATGGGTACGGAAAGATGGGGGACGAAGGCTGACATCAGTTCTGGACAATTCTGAACAGGACTTGTTGTAGGTGCCGCCGCGCTCGTTGTCAATTTGAGACAGAAGGTCGCCAGCCCAACAGGGACCACTGTTGGTTTTGGAAAACATCTACTGTTGGGCATCGCAGCTTTTCGTACCCATGTCGGGTGTGCAACTATTGGCGACACCGTCGGAGGTCACCCTGACTGATTGTCATCTTGGTCCGCTCGGGGATGATGCTCAAGACGCCTTCGAGGACCGCAGCGAGCTGTCTGACGCAGTTGATCGCCCAGCCAGTCGGCAGTGGTCGAGGAGGCTTGGTCATTGGCGCACGCGTCAAGCTCCTTCGGGACCTAGCACGCGGCGTTCGTTCATGAGGTCGTCGAACGGGCTGAGGAGCACGGCTTGCCAGAGGACTATGGTGAATGAGAAGTCAGAGACGATGCCCCGAGTGGCGCGGAAGGGGTGCGTGGATGCGTTCTCCCAGCTGGGTCTTTTGGCCGCGCCGTGCCAGTGAAGTGGCTACCATGGAGTTCGATCGGCGCACCATTCCTCTTGGCAGCTTGCAGAAGTAGCGACCACTGAGTGTTTCCGAAGCAGTTATCAATGCCCAAGATGGCCGTGATGGAGGCGTGGCGTTGCGGGTCATCCATTGAGTCCGCGGCCTCGTCGTCGAAGAGCAGTAGCTCCGCCAAAGCGGTGACCGCCTTGCCACCACCCAGCGCGAGGTATTGATGACCGCCGATATTGCGCCGCCCACCGCTGAATGAAGTGGAGGCGCGCCGAGGTCCAGATACGTTTGATCGACGGCAGCAAGCCTGAGTGGCGAAGTCCGCCCGACGGTTTTGGCAGCACCATGGTGCGCACGGATGTTTAGTTTTCCTTCTTTTCCCCCCTCTGGTGCTGCTTCTCATCCCTCCTTTTTTTCTTGCCGCTGCCTATCAGCACGTGTGGCAAGCTTCCCCTCTTGCTGCTTATGCCTGACACGCGTTGAGTGCGAATCGTTGTAAATGTGGCTTCCGCCTAGTAACGCCGCGCACGCTCGCCTGGCACAACTGATTCCAAAAGTCACGGGTGGAGGGCGGCTGGTTTTCAAGATGTGATTCTCGTTTTTGTTGTGCCGCGCGCATTCGTAGTCATTGTGCACGGATGTATGCGCATGGAGGGTGTTCTTTCGTGAACGTGTGGCTCGCACCCTGGCGCCTCTGACGCTCTTTTCCAAACCTGCCAAACAGCTGCACGGATGTAGGGCGGTTGGTGTTCACAATGTGGCTCTCGCGTTCGCGCAGCGTGCTAAACGTTTGCGTCAGTTACGTGCAATTGTGGAGGGCGACTCCTTTGGAAAGCGGGGAATCGCTTAAGATATTTTGAGTTCATGCCTGGACGGTGAAAGTTCTTCAGCAGTTACACGGCGGAGGGCGATTCTTTTTGACATTGAGTGTTAGACTGATTTCGCTTTCAGTGCTTGCACTGAAGGGGTCCTCGCGGAAACTGTAAGGATTTGGCGAACCTGCTGACCCGATGCCGATAGGCGGCCAGATTATCGGGTTCCTGGTTGCCCCGGGTTCCAGGTCTTGGTCAGTGAAATTTCCCGCCCTTTCCGATGGGCGACCAAGTCTGGACTTCCACGGTGGAGACCAGACAGAGAGAGATAGAGAGAGAGAGAGAGAGAGATAGAGAGAGAGTATACACAGTGGAGAAATAATAGAAGCAGTAGAGATATTACGGACAGTCGAGGGAGCAGCACGTATGGAGCAGAGCTCAGAGAGCAGAGTGCAGAGAGCAGAGAGCGTGGGTCAGACTGAAAAGGCGATCACCGAGAGTAGAGGATCGAGAGAAGAGAGAAGAGCGTAGCGGGTGGAGGGATATACATCAACAGTAGATGGGGTAGGGTACATAGTAGCGGGTAGAGGACGGAGAGAAGAGAGTACCAAGGTGTGAGTAGAGAGTGCGGAAGACAGAACACCGCATTTGCAAGATGTTGCTCTCGCCCACCAGCGCGCTACCTTTACGGTTTACGTGCGAAGAGCTGACTAGGGCTGCTTTCGTGGAACTCGAACTACAGGGCCATACTTTCAAAGCGGTGCAGCGATTACACTCAGCCACGCGCAGAGGGGGGGGAGGGGGGAGGGCTTCTTAAAAGCACCCCTGCTTCTTAGAAGGCGCGGGCCTTCTAGAAAATGCGCCAGTGGATCTCCCTGAATACACTAAAGGGGGGGGATGGTCCAGAACCCCCCCCCCCCCCCCCCTCTTCAATGGGGGGGGGTGCGAAAACCCCCCCCCCCTCCCCCCTTTAGGGGGGGGGGGGTCCCGAACCCTCCCCCTCCCTTGAAGGGGAGGGGGGGGTCCGGACCCCCCCGCCTCACCCCTTGGCGCTGGAAAGGGGGGGGGGGGGTCGGACCCCCCCCCTCGTGTAGGGAGTACGGAGTTGGGAGTAGGGAGTGGTGAGTAGTGAGTCGTGAGTTAGTGCGTAGTGAGTAGTGAGTATTGGGTAGTGAGTAGTGGGTAGTGGGTGGCGAGTAGGGGGTAGGGAGTAGGGAGTAGGGAGTGGGGAGTAGTGAGTAGTGAATAGTGAGTAGTGTGTACTGATAAGTGAGTAGTGAGTGGCAAGTAGTGAGTAGTGAGTAGCGAGTAGCGAGTAGTGATCATTGAGTAGGGAGTAGGGAGTAATGAATAGTGGGTAGTGAGTAGTGGGTAGTGAGTCGTGGGTGGCAAGTAGTGATTAGTGGGTAGTGAGTAGTGGGTAGTGCGTAGTGCGTAGTGAGTAGTGAGTAGTGAGTAGTGAGTAGTGAGTAGTGAGAAGCGAGTAGTCAGTAGTGAGTAGTGAGTAGTGAGTACTGAGTAGTACGTAGTGCGTAGTGAGTAGTGAATAGTGAGTAGTGATGAATAGAGAGTAGTGGATCGTGGCAGTGGGTAGTGAGTAGTTAGTAGCGAGTAGGGAGTAGCGAGTAGTGAGTACTGAGGAGCGAGTAGGGCGTAGTGAGTAGTGAGTAGGGAGTAGTCAGTAGTGAGTAGCGGGTAGTGATTAGTGAGTAACGAGTAGGGAGTAGCGAGTTAGTGAGTAGTGAGTAGTGAGTAGGGAGTATGGAGTAGTGAACAGTGAGTAGTAAGAAGTGGGTAGCGAATAGTGGGTAGTGAGTAGCGATTGGTGAGTAGTGTAGTGACTAGTGACTAGTGACTACTGAGTTGTGACTAGTGAGTAGAGACTATGTAGTGACTAGTGAGTAGGGAGTAGTAAGTAGTGAGTAGTGAA